AACATGGATGTCAAGGCCGACATCAACGCCACTATTCTAGGCGACCAGTACGTCTACGCGTGCGAGATGGCTGGCCACATCGACTCGCTGCAAAACGACCCGGTATGTGCGAAGTGTTCTTAGCTTTATCTGCACGTCAGCGTCTAATACTATGCTGTGTGATATCTCTGCAGGCTGCGAATCTAGGCTCGCCTGTAGAGGCCGACATCACTACAGACGAGATCTACCAGGACGCGACGGACATCAAGTGCCCCGTGTGCGGCAAGGGCTACGACCAGCTCAAGCACGCTGTGCCGTGGATCTCCAAGGGTGCGCAGAAGATCTACACGTGCTCGGAGGAGCACGCGCAGCTGGTGTTTGACAACCCCACCAAATACGTGGCGGCACAGGCCTCGTCCGACGATTTCTGCTATGGCGCAGGCTCCGTCATGTTCAACGGCTTCCAGCTGGCTATCGGCGGCGATGCCTCGTGTCTGATGCTGCTGTTCCAGCCGTGGGTGATCTCGTCGGGTGTCAAGTACGCCTTCGCCTTCCTGGGTGTTGTGCTGCTGGCCATGTCGCTCGAGGGATTCGGAGAGCTGCGTGAGTTCGTACTGACGCGACTGTACCGAGACCACGGCATCGTGTCCAGCCAGGCAGACTACATGTCGCTGGCCACCCCGCAGGTCAGCAGTGCGAGCCACGAGTCGTTCGTGCAGAAGCCTGGCCGCGTACCAGACGCCCCCAGGCTCAGCATTGTACGTCGACTGCCTCTTTGGAGTAAACTCGTGCTTGCCGCCATGTACATGGTGCATCTGTGCCTTGGCTACTGGGTTATGCTGGTCATCATGACGTACGAGACGCTCATGTTCGTGGCCGTGATCATTGGCGTCGGCTTGGGCTTTGCCATCTTCAAGGACACCGATGCCGACGAACTGCGTGGCAGCGTTGATCCGTGCTGCTCCACCTAAAATAATTGCACCAGAATTTAATTTGGTCTTGAAAGATTGTCACATTTATTTGCAAGTGTCTGAGCTTAGCAAAATTTCTGATAATATCAGCTGTAATCATTTCATTACATTTGCGTTGGTAAAGATAATCCCACATTCGAGCTTTTGCCAATCAAAAGACCCAAGGATCGCCATGTACGGCACCGTGAGCTCCAGCACGAGCGCCAGCAGCTCACGCGACCTCCCACCTCCGCCTACACCGTCGCCGTTCCGTTACCACGTGCGCGAGGGCGACACGCTGGCCAGTATTGCACTTAAGACGCAGACGACGGAGGCGGCGCTGCTGGCGCTTAATCCGCTGCTGGGCCGCAAGAAGCGGCACGTCAAGCTGTATCCAGGCCAGCAGCTTGTCGTGGAGGAAGCACACGCCGTATCTTTGCCACCACCACCCGAATGCATCGACAATGGCTGGGGCCAAATGCATCTCGTGCGCTCGGGCGAGACGCTGCGTGGCATTGCGGCGCTCTACAATACGACGGAGGAGATTCTGCGGCAAGACAACCGCCGCTACTTCCCCATGGGCGAGCGCAGCTTACTATGTCCCGGTCAACTGTTACATGTGCGTCTAATGAACACAGGCGAGATGGAGAAGGACGATCCCGTGGCCAACAGCGACGCAGATGCCAAAGCCTCAGCTTTAAACGCCATGAGCGAACAGGAGGCCACGTACGCGAGCACGTCGGCTGCTTTCGCGCGATACAAGACGCACCTGGTCACTCCCACGGACACCTTCGAGTCCATTTGCAAGACGTACAACATCCCATACTCGCATTTCTTGCAGATTAACCGCGGCCGATACCCCGTCGGCCAACGTGCGGAGCTCGTAGCAGGTGAACGAGTTATTGTGCCGGACCTCTTGGCAGCGCAGCAAGCGGCCAGTCGACGCAATATCGCCGAAGTGAAACTCACCAAGCAGATCCACGTCGTGGAGCCTGGTGACACCCCCGAAGATCTGGCCAAACGCTACGGCATGACGTACGATGAAATGCGCGAGTACAACCGCGCCTACTTCCCGAAGGGATATCGCGGTGAGATCCGCCCTGGTTACAAGCTGGTGGTCAAGCGGCCAGACAGCGCCGACTCGCCACAGCAACTGCGCCACAGCGACTATAGGGATATCGATGCTGCCAGCAGCGCATGATCCTCCATCCACTAGGCCGTGTGTGGTAGTTTTTGTACATGTAGAGAAGGGAGTCTTGCTTTACCTCAATAGTTTTCAGAGGACGGAGCTTCGTGAGCTTCCTGTCAGTTCTTGACTTCTTTTGTACGTGCTGCTTTACTAGTCTTTGTTTTCCTACATGCGAGATTGGCGACGGCT